TCTCTCTCTCTCTCTCTCTCTCTCTCTCTCTCTCTCTCTCTTCGTGAAATGACGCATCGTTCTCTGGAGAGCTAGCTCGGAGCTGGCGGAGCTCGGTCTAGTGGTGCGCTAGAGCGCGGTGAGCTACGCGCTGTGCTGCTGCCCCCCGCGTCGCCTCTTCAAGAGGTATAGCGTGGCTCGGAGCTAGCGCACACGGCCTTATACGGCCTGTAGCGGTGCGCTGGCGCGGTGAGCTACACTGTGACTGTCCGCGCGGCCTGCCCGTTGCCCGCGGCGTGCACTTGCAGCAGTGTAGAATGTAGGTCACGCAGATGGCCTGCAGGACCGGCGGATCGGATCAGCCCTCTACGAGAGCCTACCGTGGCCCTGCATATGCATGCGGGCTGTAATGGTGTGCGAATGGGAAAGGGAAGAGGAGGAGAGGGGAGGGGGGATGTTCGCCCCCCGTTTGCCATGCATCTACCTCCTTGTCCCCCCGCCCCGCCCCTTGCCCCTCGTTCCTCCACCCCACTCCCCTCCATCTCCTGCCCTGCCCACCCACTTCCCCTGCCCGACGAGTGGCGTCCGAGAATGTGGAATGAACCCCTCCCCCCACCCTTCCCCCTCTGCCGCATCCGCACTAGACCCGCCGCCGCCCCCCTCCTCGCGCCCCTCTCTTCCCAATCCGGTCGCATCAGGACGCGGTGACAGACGATCGTTCAGCTGCTCCTGCGGGCTGGATAGCTCGACGGGCGACAGGGCGTGGCGTGGCATTACGTATGGCACGGCTTGGCACGGCATGGCACGGCGCAGCGTGCCACGGCGGGACGTGGTGTAGTGCGGCGTGGTATCCGTCGGCGTCAGCTGGCGCCCGGGCTGCTGCTGCATGGCTCGCTGGGTCAAGCCGCCGCACACTAACTTTTTCGGGGGGCGGCGGGGCGGGGCGCGACCAGCAACCAGCCCTTCCCCTCCTGCTGACCACACTCACCACTCGCTCGTGTTTGACCACGTGTCGAGTCCGCGTGTCGTCACGTGTCCTACAGTCTGCTCACCGTGTACGCGAGGCGGACGTGTCGTGCCCGCGTTGTCTTGGACACGTGTGTCGTATCGTTCGCTCACCCTGGCCGCGAGGTGCACTTCCGAGCCCAGGGCGGCGAGCCGCGACGCCACGTCGCGGACCTGCGTGTTGACGAGCACGCCGAGGCTGCAACGGATGGGCACTTCGAGGCACGCCTCGCCCATCCTGGCAAGAACCATAAGCAGAGGGGGCTCCCCGTCGAACTCCAGGAATCTGGTAAGTAAGGAGGGCTCGCGTCAGTGCCGAGTGCAAAATTACGGGGGATAAGTCAATCCGGTCGACGAAACACCCAACGAGTGCGTGAACAAGCTCCTGCAGCGACAGCTTCGTTCTAGGGTCTAATATTTCTTGTCTCCATTAACTAATTGTTAGTTACCACAGTGAACTTAAAATGCGGCCTCTCCACCGGCAAAGCCAAAGCAGGCCTGACCCCTGGCGAACGGAGTTACCGGTGCAGCAAATTGGAAATGTCAACTTTTTCGTTTGTCACTTGTGCTTCATTAGGACACGCGGAAACAATGGCATATTTGCGACACGAATGTCCGTGGCGTTTGAAATTGATCAGTCTGCGGCGCTGACAAAGTCCTCACCCGAGATAGCGGAAGGACAGCCACGACGCGCTGACGTACGCGACGGATAGGCACAGGAACCAGCGTGCCGGAGAGTTGTCGGGCCTTCCCTCGAGGTCGCCGCCGGGCCCTTTTCAGAGTAGCGTCAGAGAGAGAGAGAGAGAGAGAGAGAGAGAGAGAGAGAGAGAGAGAG